AACGAGATGTAATTTTAAACCTAGGGCATATGACTTTCATAAATCGCTTAAAACCGTCACCTTCAACAAACTTAAAAGGTAATTCATCCACAACAACATTAAATGCAAGAGCCTCCCTAATTGCATTTTCATTATACTTTCAAGTACTGAGATATATGCTTGCAATTTTACAAGCATTGGAGATATATGCTTCTTCTAAATACAACTCTATCCCTTTAATTATTGAATCAGATTCAAAAAATGTTGTTTTATGGGCTCCAAATAAACTTTCAAGACCTCGGCAACAGTAGATAAATTTTCAATAGGCTGGATTCCATCATTTCTTCTCTATCACAGGTATTTTTAATCCATGCAATCAGATCTAAAACCTCATTTGTTGATACCTTGGCAAAGAAAGGAGTCGACCATGTGAATCCTTCTTTAGCTTGGCTTTGATGTCACTTACTAGCTCTCGGGATAATTCATTGGGAGGCTTTTTTTTTTTTTTTTCCTCCTGGCTTCTCTTCCTCACTCGTGAAAAGAAGCTGACTTGATTTTAACTCTCTATCTCTGCCTCTTATTAGTTATGCTTAGTTTGTGGTTTTAATTTTTTATTTGCGTAGGCTTTTCTCCTCTTTTCCAGGTCTAGGTTTTGAGGGTGTACGGAAAGCCTGCTGATTTGGGTGTAAACTCCTAAATTAGGGGGAATTTTTCCTAATTGCTTCATATATTTTCCAGTTCTAATAATAATAAATATAATAAATTTATATTTGCTGATAAAAAAAAAAACATAACCATAGTATAATATTATGATATTAAAACCACTAATATATGAACTCAATTTATATCTTTACTATATGTATTATTATAATATATGAGCCCAATAATAATAACTAATTTGAACTCTATTTTGACTCAGTTAGAAAATAAAGGACTCATTGTTCATAAATATTTTAACATACTTTAACAACATAAGAAAGTCATGTCCTGAAAGATGAAAGGTGATTAATGTTTTACTCACTCTAAATTCATTTTTTTCAAGGTATATTCATGAAATACCCCGAATTTTTATTTTCAGAACATTTTCCAATTTAATTTAACGAACCGACAGCCTGAAAATTGCTATTAATATTTTAGTGCGAATACTATGAGAAATCGAATCGAAAACCGATTGAAAAAGCCGAAAGCGGTTGAAAATCGAAGATTTGGGCCGAATCAGAAAAAGAGCGCGAAAGTAAGCGGTGTGAAAAAAATTCGTCGAGACATAAGATTTGGGCCGAATCGAACGAATCGAACCGGTTCGACCCAAAAACTCAAGTCCATAAGCACACAACATCCCTTTTTCCCTTTAATCTTCAACGCCTATCTGCCTTCAACTCTCACCTGTGACTGCGCCTGCGTCGACCTCAGCCAGCAACAGCAGGGACGCGAACCACCAACACCTGCGCCACGCCGGTCGCAGCCGCACGCAGCTCCAGCGCCATGCCAGTCGCAGCCGCATGCAGCACCAGCTCGAGTGGATCTCCATCACAGCACCATCTTGTCGCGCCATCGCCGGCCTGCAGCAGCTCCAGCAAGCCTCTGACCACCGGATCACTCCTCTGCCGCCGCTCCAGCGTGCCTCCGACCACCAACAGCTACTGCTCTCCGATCCGGCACGCGTGGAAATTTCCGATCTAGCAGAGTGGCAATTTCCGATCTAAGCAGAAATTCAACAAAAAAAATCTATAATTGGGTATAAATTAATTTAAATATATTTTAGTTAATGAATTTAATTTTATTATAATGAATAGTTACTTAAATTTAGTTAAGTTTAGACTTTTAATAATTTTAGTTGCTTAAGTTATAATCAGTTATGTTATATACATTAGTTAATTAAACAACTTAATAAAATTTATTATTTGAAAGTTATATTAATTGTTTAGTAATACTTAGTTAATAGAAATTAATTTTATTACTTGTAGTTCATTAGTTAGTTAAGTTAAAATGCTAGTAACGCTAAGTTTAATTAAATTAATTTTATTTATTTTGTAGTTAAAATTAAATTATTGGTTAATTTAAATTTGAGAATAATTGTGAAGTAGTTAACAGTCGTTATAAATTTTAAATTCAGTGTTAGATATTAAGGTTAAGTGTAAGTTTAAAACATATATATGTTTATTGTAAATGTATATATAGGGTGAATTGTGTGGTCGATGTTGAGATTAAAGGCAGGAATGGAAAATGTTGTTTGAATTAATTGCGCCCCGATGGATGGCCCGTAATGGATTGAATTAATTGTGAAATTTGTTTGATAATTTTAGCAGGAATAGATAGTCCTAAATTTTAGGGGAGATGCTGCCGAAATTCGGTAGAAAATAAGGTCAAAATTATAACTGAAATAAAATTATTAAATAGAGATTAATATTATTTATAGAAAATTAAAACAATATAGAATAAGATTATTAGAGTGATAAATTAAATAAGGAAACCCAATATCTGTTAATTCTTATAAAAAAATAATATATATTGTTTTAAAATTAATAAATGAACACTTAAAATGAATCAAGATAAATAGCTATAGAGCCTCAAAAAGTGGTAACGAATGCAAAGTATATTTATGAGGTTAGGATTTTTATACAGGATTTTCTTTCTAGATGTGTATGAGCTCTGGGATGGTGAGACAAAAGCTAGAAGGATGCAGTACTAGAGATAGTCCTTTAGAGGGCAATAAAGAACTGTGAGTAGTGTTAGATAATTCGCCTCATCCGCCTGCATTCATGCATTCTCAGCTAAATGTTATCATGCATTATTTTATTGAATTGCCATATTATGATGCACTATTTGTTGATAGTAAAAATTGTTTGATTACTTGTGCTCTTGTGCTATTGAATATTACTGTAGTCTTGTTGTGTGGTATATTGGGGATGAACGTGGACCACACATTTGGGTTTGTGAGGACGATTCTGTGATATGGATCCTGAAATATGATATGATATGAGCCGTCCTCACCGGCCGGAAAAATGGGTTAGATGCGGCAACACGCCCCCCGTTTGGTTTGCTACTCTGATGAATATGGATTGTATGGAAAATGAAAATCAACAGGATGGCTTCTTATTGTTTTCAAAAGCGTCACCTGATAAATCTAGATTTGTAATCTTGTAAAGCCTCACAGCAGGGTGGCCTCCTGTTGTGAGCCAACTGATGAATCTACCGATTGGTCAATGTGAGACCACCGGGATGCCTCACTGTGGGATTTATTGTTGAAACAGAATAAGAGAGATATGGAAACTAACTGAGAGGAAACTGGTCAGGTCCTTTGAGGAATTAGACAGTTTGGCCTGTATGGTGGGATTCGGCTCCACCGGTGCATTGGCTTATACTTGTAAATGAAGAGGGGCGAGCCCAATGTGTGAGGACGGGCTCGTTTGGTGTTTCAGGTGGTGCACTTCCGTATCTAATTTCCAAACGTGATGTGCAATTTAAATATGAATGTGATGATACTTGTTTTTGATTGCTGCTGTATGGCCAATTTTTTTGTGACAAACTGCATGATCCATTCTATAATTAAACACGGTAACTAGATAAAAATATTTTTGCATCTGTGTGATTGTGTGGAAGTGAGAGGGTTTATCTAACCTACTGCATTTGAGTTTGGGGCGCTCCATTTATCACTCTGCCTACTAATTTTCATTTTTTCTAGGTTAATAGAAAGAAATATAAAGCCTTGTGGAGTTTGAGACACTTATTGTACGAAAGACTTTCCTTAATGGAAGAAAATAACGATGTAAAATAATAAAGGTAGAATTTCCGCAAATTGGTATTCCAGTTAATAAATAGTAAAAGTCCATATTAAATATATGAACTGCATTTTGAGTTAATGGGCCTGAATCTATAATTATGAATAGAAGGTGAGATTTAAATAAGTTATGCTTACTACGGGCTTCGGGGGCCTTAAGCCCACCCAGGTCCTAGTGCCGGTCCGGTCCATGGAAATGGGTCGTGACAACTTTCTTGGATCTGAGAGATTTAAATAAGTTAGGCTTACTACGGGCTTCGGGGGCCTTAAGCCCACCCAGGTCCTAGTGCCGGTCCGGTCCATGGAAATGGGTCGTGACAATTCAATAATCATTTCATTTACGATCACATGTCAACACTTAAAATTCAAAATTTCAATATTCAATAAGCAAATCTCACTTAAATATTAATATTAAGTTAAATTTTTAACTTAAATTTTAAATTGAATTCAATAAACCATTGAACTTTATATAATTTACAATTTATAGATTTTAACATTTATATTATCCGACACTTATAATTCATCAGCGGTTAAATTTTCAATTTTATATTGTAACTTTATTTTTAATTTGTTTTCAACTTTTAATATTAATTTTATAATCTAATCTATAGTATGATAAGTGAAGATTAATGTGTGAATAAATGAATTAAAATCGAAATGGTTCATGGATGAACTAGAATTTGCAACTATAAGATTCCATTATTGCTTATTATTCATTATTATAGAATTAAAGACTATGAATATATTTGTTAGCAATCAATTATTATTCCCACAAGCATTTAACTTAATTGCTTGATATAGAAATAAAAGGTGAAGTAAAAAAATCAAATAATTACTAAAAACCTTGTCTTTCCCCTTAAAAAACTTTTTAAAAAAATAATAATAACAATAAAACCTTCTATTTGGTCACATATTGTAATTATTAATAAAAGATAATTACAATTAACGCACAAATCCTTTTCAATTACTTATCTAATTCATGTAATTTTTTTTTAATTAAAATTTTGAATTGCAATAATACTTTTATTTCTCATTAGGCGTTTCATATCATATCATAAAATAATTAGTAGCCCAAGAACATTATTATTTTATTTTTTGTCCTAATAAGCTATAAAGCTTATTATATGATTTATTTTTGTAAAAAAAAAAAATTGACTAAAAGGAAATAAGCATAAATAAGACCAATATTGTTCTATCACTTATTAATTCATTCTAATTTTGATTACTAGACCTTATTTTATAACTAGCGCAATTCTTTTTCTATATCCACTTTAATCACTGAATTCGCGCAAACATTATATTGAGAGAGTGTAAGATCATTTTTCATTATCTCATTATTATGGGATATAACGAAACGAGAACTGAAAATGCCCCAATTTCTCTCAATTTTGTTCTTCAAATCTGCCACAGTATCCGTTGCTTTAACTCCCATAAAGTTTTCCTTGTAATCAGATTTCACCAAAACATAGAATTTCAAATCACGATATGTGTTTGTCCTGAGAAGTTTAAGATGAAAATGTCCACCCTCTTTGAAATTGTAAGATTCGAGTGAACGATCATTTTTCAATTCTAGATCGTCATAAAAGAGGGATTGCTCTTCGACTTCCCATCTTAAAATACTTCCAACCCTTTGCTTCACTTGAAGAATAGTATCAGATGGCAAGAAAGAAAAGTCATGTTTGGTTTCATCATTTTCAAATTCAATACCCACAGTGACTTGGTTTGCCATAGCGATAAAGTAGGAAAATGAGCAATACGTGAATTATCAATAAATTGTCTATTATAAATGTGGGAGATTCACATTAATTGAAATGCTAACCATCACTGTATGTGCATGATGTGCTATTCACTTCAAATGTATTTTCTTTTTATTTTCAGCATTTGTATAATTAACAATAACAATATTTTTAATTTTGGGCCTAGCAATTATAATTGGGCTTGTGGCTAATTTGGCTTGTCTATATCATTGATTTCTCTTATCATTACCTTTAATTCTAACTTTGAAAAAAAAAAAAAAAAAAAAAAATAAGAATTGTTGGAGGATGAATTTCACATTAAATTGAATAATTGGCTAACCATCACTTTTGAGTAAAAGTTATGCCAATAGATGTGCTTATTTTCCTCACACTTCAAAATGTAATTTTCTTTTTAATTTCATCAATTTGTATAATTAACATAACAATATTTTATATAAATTTGGGCGTAAGCAAAATTATAATATTGGGTCTTCCGAGTGGCCTTAAATGGTTGGGCTTGTCCTATATTCATTGATTTCTCTATCATTACCTTTTAATTCTAACCTTTGAAAAAAAAAAAAAAAAAAAACTAATTTTATTAATTTTCAATTTATTCAAGATTTAAAAAAGAGAATTTTAAAAAAAAAAAAAAAAAAAAAAACTAATTTATTAAATTTTTCATTTATCAAGATTAAAAAGAGAATTTTCTATTTTTGTTTAAGCTTTTTATTTGCTAAAAGTTAGAGAATGATAATTATCCATGTTAAACGTGCATTGAATTTAATTAAGATTTCAAGTTTTTTTTTCGTTTAAAATTAAGTTCTTATTTTTGTTAATAAAAAAACTATAATTGTACCTTTATATTTTGAAAAAAAAAAATATTTTTCATCCGTCTTGTTAAAAATAACTATTATACACTTATATTTTAAATCTATTACACTGGATTGCCTTTTATTCAATATTTACCATTTTAAACGTTAAATGCGTGTAAAATGACACGATTACTCTAATTCCACCACCTCAATCTCTAATTTCTCTTCTCCTTTAAAACTTCTTTAAAACCTAAAATCTCAATTCGCGCTTCATTAAATCTGACAAAATTATAAGATCCATGAGATAAGGTGTGCAATTGGTGATTACAATTGGTATGATTTATTGTTTATTTTGCCTTTCTTTTTTTTTTTTTAAAAAAAAAAAAAGTTTCTTTCATGTGTTCTCTTTTTTTTTTTTTTTTTTTTTTTTTTTTTTTTTCCTCTTTTTCTTTTTTTTTTTCTCAATAAATTTGGCTCAGGAGCATATAGACTTTCCTCTTTAATAAATGCCTCGATTTTTTTTTTTTTTTTTCTCTTTCTTTTTTTTCTCATAATTGGCTCAGGAGCATGACTTCTCTTTAATAAATGCCTCGTGCTTAGTGATGATACTTCGATTAAAACTTGCAACTAAGACATAAAAAAAGAGCAAAGCAAAGAAAAAGAAAAAGAAAAGCAAAGCAAAGAAAAAGACAAAGAAAAAGAAAAACGAAAAGCAAAGAAAAGTGAAAAAAAAAAAGAAAAGAATGATGGAAAGCACTTCGAGCCCCGTGCTTGCTTTCCATATTTTGACTAATTTACATTAAGTATATATTTCTAAATATCTCTTGCGCTATGCATGTTGTTTTTCCTGCAATTGCATGGGCGCAGAAATGTCAACTACTAATCTCCTTTCTGTAAAGCACGATTTTGCAAATCTCTTTTTGTGGATGATGTAGAATTGATCGTAGATGCTCCATAGGTGGAAGCTGAGGAGGAACCATGAATATCCTCTGTTGGAATTGTTGAGGACTGGGTAACTATGAGCAGTTAATGCTCTTTATGAACTTATTCGCTGCAATAAGTCAATGGTCATTTTTTTTGTCTGAAACTTTAGTTGCTTCGAATAAAATTGAGCAGCTCCGGTGTAGCCTCCATTATGACTGTTGTTTTGCTGTGGACACGGTGGGACACAGTGGTGGTTTAGCTAGTTTGTGGAATTCTCAGATTAATTTAGAAGTTATGCGTTATTCTTCGCATTTTATTAATATGAAAATAACGGAAGCTGCAGGTTTTACATGGCGCCTCACTGGATTTTTGGCATGCCGGAAAGACACTGTAGGCAAATTTCATGGAATGTCCTCAAATCCTTAGCTAGGCCGGGAACTCTTCCCTGGTTAATTTGTGGAGACTTTAATGACCTAATGTTCGCTGAAGAAAAGAAAGGGCGTAATTCTCATCCTCCATGCTTATTACAGGGTTTCTCGGATACTGTGGCTGATTGTGGTCTGATTGACTTGGGAATGTCGGGGTATCTTTTTACTTGGGCTCACGGTAGAGGTCAATATCGGGTAGAGGAAAGACTGGACAAAGCTTTGGGAAACATCATTTGGCAGAACCATTTTCCTAATTATCAGGTTCAGAATTTAGTCTCAAGTAAGTCCGATCACTCTCCTCTTCTCATCCTTACTGCCCCAAGAATAAAAAATATGAGGCACCAACGCTTTCGGTTTGAGAATTTTTGGCTAGACGAATCTGATGTGGATGCTGTGGTTAGAGAGAGTTGGACCAGTTCTGACGGAGTTGATGTAACGGGGAAGATAAAGGTTTGTGGACAACGTCTACAGAGCTGGGGTAGGAGACTAAAGCTTCGATTTAGATAGGATGCCAAGTAGTTGACCGTGCAGCTTGAGAATCTTCGGATCAACGGTAATATTGAACAGTTTGAAGGTGTGCAGCGTAAGCTTGATGATGTTCTGCATCGTGAAGAGGTCTTCTGGTCTCAAAGAGCGAAATCCCATTGATTGAAATCAGGGGATATGAACTCTAGGTATTTCCACGCAACTGCTAAAAAAAGGAAGAAATCCAAGCAGATTTTCCGGCTGAAGGATGCAAATGGTGAATGGATAAGTGACAGCAATCTGTTAACAGGTATGGTGAGTGATTATTTTGATCATCTATTTGCGGTAGGGGATGCTGACTTAAGTCCTGTTGTGGGTTTATTCTCTCCTTTGGTTTCGGATAATGATACTTTTATGCTACTTAGAGATATTTCAGTGGATGAGGTTAAATTGGCAGTGAAACAAATGCATGCGGATAAAAGCCCAGGGATGGATGGACTGAATCCTAGATTCTACCAGAGGTTTTGGGATATTGTGGGCCATGATGTTGTTCAAGGGTGTCGAGACTGGTTTAATGCAGGTGTTTTTCTAGATAATATGAACGATACCTTAATTATGCTGATTCCAAAAGTAGACGACCTAGAGGCAGTGAAGGACTTTCGACCTATTTCACTTTGTAACGTAGTTTACAAAGTGTTTGCTAAGATTCTGGCAAACAGGCTGAAGACCATTCTATCCAATCTTATCTCATCATCTTAGTCTGCTTTTGTCCCGGGCCGATTGATTTCAGATAATGTATTAGTTGCTTTCGAATTAATCCACTCTATGAAAACCAGAATGGCCGGTCGATGAGGAGCTTCTGCACTGAAAGTTGATATCTCTAAATCCTACGACAGAGTTAACTGGTGCTATTTACGGGCTGTTATGCAAGGCTTGGGTTTTAGCCAGCGTTGGGTTGACTTGATCATGTTTGTGTTTCCTTTGTTAAATATTGGGTTGGAGTGAATGGGGATGACGTTGGCCCAATTATCCCGGGACGGGGTTTGAGACAAGGTTGTTCGTTATCTCCCTACTCATTTATTCTATGTGCTAAAGGACTGTCAAAGCTGTTTAGTAAGTCTGAAAATGAAGGTCAACTCCAAGGCTGTAGAGTCTCGAGAGCTGCGCCACAGCTATCTCACTTGTTGTTTGCGGATGATAGTTTGTTCTTCTTTGAGGCATCACGGATTCAAGCTCTAGAGATAAAAAATATTCTAGTTACTTATGAAGCAGCTTCGAGTCAAGCGGTAAATTGGCAAAAATCCGGTATTTTTTTTCAGCTTTAACACTTCTGACCCAGATAAGGATGCCGTTAATGGCGTTTTTGGTGTGCTTGCTCCTTTAAACCACGGAAGGTATCTAGGCTTGCCCTCCTTAATTGATCGGAAAAAACAACGCATTTTTTCTTTCTTGAAGGATCGAGTGAGGAAGCTAGTCAATGGTTGGAACCAAAAACTTCTATCGAAAGCTGGTAAAGAGGTGCTAATAAAGTTTGTGGCACAAGCTATTCCTTCATTCTGTATGAGTGCTTTCCTTTAAACGGTATCCATCTTACAGGAGATTCAGAGTTTAATGAATTCTTATTGGTGGGTCAGAAAAATGCGATGGTTGAGTTGGGAAAGGCTGTGTGTAGCGAGGGAAGAAGGAGGTTTAGGCTTCAGACATTTGCGAAGCTTCAATCTAGCCATGCTCGGGAAACACTGTTGGAGACTTTTACATAATACAAATTCTCTTCTTTATAGCTCTTTCAAATCTAAATATTTCCCAAGTGGGAATTTCCTTGGTGCAGACATTGGCCATAATCCAAGTTTTGTATGGAGAGGAATTTGTGCAGCTAAGGATGCTATTTGTTCAGGTTTTCGGTGGAGAATTGGAGATGGTCAGTCAGTAAATGTTTGGACTGAGCCGTGGCTATTGAGGGATAACCAGTTTCGAGTTAATCTGCCTATTCTTCCTGGTTTTGAGCATATAAGGGTTTCTGACCTTATTTTGACACAACGGGAACGTGCTTGGAATTTGCCTCTGATACACGGTCTTTTCAATTCTTCAATTGCTGAACTTATCACCTCCATTCCTTTAGCTACAACCATTCAGGAAGACACCCTTATATGGCACTGGACAGACTCAGGGATCTATTCTGTGAAATCTGGATACAAAATAGTAGCATCTCAATGTGTGGATATGAAAGATGATTTGCAATCAGATTTTTGGAAAGCTCTTTAGTCTCTGAAAATTCCGCCGAAAGTGAGGCATTTCCTCTAGAGGTGCTGCCGAGACATTATGCCAGTTAAAACAACTTTGGAAAGAAGGGGAATGGAGCTTGATACAAGATGCGATTATTGTGGTGTTGCTTGGCGAATCAGGTCTGGAAGAGACTCAGGGAATTTTCTAAAACTTTTCGTGGTTGAAATCTGGATACACTCAATAATAGTAGCATCTATCATATGTTGTGGGATTAATATGAACTAGATGATTGTTGAATCAGATTTTTTGGAAGCTCTTTTTATGCTCATCTTCCGTAATCAACAATTGAAGAAAGAATCATTTTCCGGACCCGAAAGTGAAGGGCATTTCCTCCGGAGGAAGGTTAAGTTGCTGGGCTGAGACATTGATGGCCAAAGTTTTTTTCAAAACAACTTTGGAACGGAAACGGAGCGGAATGGAGGCTTGATCAAATTAAAACAAGATGCGATTAATTGTTGGTGTTGGCTTCGGGAAACATTAGCGCTCAATGCTCTTGTTCGAGATGTTCCAAGGGTCTAGTTAAGCAAGATTTTTGTTTGGCGGAAACGTGTTTTTCCTTTGGTCACTGTTCAACACGACATACGGCTAAATAATCGGCAATTTTCCCAAATTTCTCTTTCTGATAGATGTTTTCGAACACTTGCAAACCCAAGGTGATGGGAAGCGATTTTTCTAAGAGGTTGATTGTAATTATGGGCATATGGAAGTAATCACGTTTTGGATGAAGAGCGCGTAATATGAAAACTCTAAATGGAACCTGAGCCGTAATGAACTCAAATGGAACCAATTGAATGAAGGACCTTATCATGTGGTTACTCGAGCTAGAAGTATGCTCGCATCTTGGAAGAAAGCCCAGCTGAAACTGTCAGGTTCAGATACAGGCATCACTGCTTCTGCAGGTAGTCAATGGCTTCCGCCATCTACTGGCACTTTTAAAATAAACTTTGATGCTGCTCTTCTCCCATCTGCCGGCCATGGAGCTGTCAGTACTGTACTCTCAAACTGCCATGGCGGATTTGTATCAGCAACAACATCTTCATTGCATGGTTGCTCTTCTCCAGCAGTAGCAGAAGCTCAGGCGTTAAGAAAGGTATTAACCTGGGTGCTGTCGGGACACCCTACTCTGACGATTCAGGTTGAGACCGATTGCCTTTGAGATAGTGCTCCCACTTGTATTGCTCGTTTCTTCTCTTATTAATATAATCCGTAATTCAAATGTCAAAAAAAAAAAGACATATATATAATAAACTTTGTGATAATTTTTCTCTCTGTCTCTCTCTATATATATATATGTTGTGTGTGTGGTAAAACTTTGATAATTCTTAGATAAGATTAGATGAAACATCTAATTAGGATTGATAATATATACTTATTAATGGGCCAAAGAAAAATATTCAAAATTAAAGAGCTAAATTCAAAGAAAAATTTCTTGCACTATTTTATAGGAGAAATTAAAAAAAAAAAAAAAAAGATTTGTAGTTTGGGGGACCTGGACTTCCCCGGTCCCCCTTCCTTTTGCAAGGAAGAGGGTACTTTGGTAAAAATAAAAAAAAAAATTCTTTTTTCTCTTTAGACCGTTAGATTTTTTTGACTTGTATTCTAAAACTGCAACTATTGGATGAAAGAGCAATATAGTGTAACGGATACAATCTATTTTTAAAAAGACAGATATAATTTTATTTTTACAAAATATATGATTATTACGATTATAATTTTTCCTTTTTTAATTGAAATTTCCACATATCACATTAATATCATTAGGCTAACTCTTGCTAAATAATATCATTACGATTATAACTCTTGTTACAAAAAAAAAATCTACCAGAAAAATATTAGTAATAGAAAATTTGTAGTTGAAACTTATTGCAAGTTTTATTTATACGGAACATAGAAAATACACAACAAGTTGTGCTGCTTTCTATAAATATGAAACTTATATGTTATGGATTTTTAAATTGGGTGCGATTTATCCGATGATTACATAGAATTGCCAAAATGCATTAACTTAAAAACCTGTAATTGAACGAACAAATCACAAAAGAAAAACAAAATTTATTTATGCATTTCTCTAATTCATCCAATTTAATTATGAAATTGAACCCAAAATTGATAGTAAAGATATGAATCACAAGAAACAAAATTCACACAACTTGATAAAAGTTACTTGTTTGTAATATTCAACCAAAATCTCTGCTTGCCAAACAAATTTAAAGTGGTGTAAAACAAATTAATAATTCAAAACAAAGCACTGTATTCAATTTGGTCACTGAAAATGGGTACAACAAAACCCTAATACATGAAGACTTACTCATAAACCTATCATGATCCGTTCCACTACTAATAGTAATACATGTTACATGGAAATTAATAAAAAGAGAGAATTTTGTACCATTATAGAACATCAATCGATGCATGAATTAAATAAAACAAAAAATATTTCAGCACAACTGAATTAATAAAGTCATTCGGGTATAGTTTAATTGTTCGTAGGAGATAGTAGGTTTTGAGTTAGGGTCTTTACCGTTTTTAACGAATCTTACGGAAAATTATTCTTCATGTATAGCTCATAATATTATTAAGCCTTTGAATAATAATAAACTTGAAAAGAAAATATTTAAACTTATATGGAGTCACAAAACAAAACCTAGTTTTCAAAAACAGTAATAACCATACGAGAAAAACATAATATCTAGCTGCCGGGAAACGCACTTTGCTGGAAGGCTAAAAACCTTTTACCGCTAGGGCACAGGGGATTACACCTCCCATTTTAAAAGAAAATCCAAAGATAATATCCAACGAATTTACTCGTAATTCTGTTTCTCATCCAACCTCCTGCGTCCTCCCGCTGCTGCTAATGCAATTCATTAACACCAATTGATTCTTCGAAACTACTTTTTGCG